CAGGGTCTCTCAGGCAGTCCTGTGCATTTTCAACCCTATGCCAGAGGGAGGCCAGAACTTGGCACCTCGGGTGGTTTGCTTAGATCCCAGCTGCAACACTGATGGAGGTCTGAACCCACGCTCTCAGGCTGTCTGCTAGGATCTCAGCCTTAGCCTACCAAAGCCAGATCTGCCCTGGGGCCTTGGGAGGGGCCTCACAAAATCCCAGGTAGGGGGATGGTATGGCGCAATTAGGGGACACTCATCACCTTGTGGAGGCAAGATCAGGGGCTGTCAGACCCTCTGGTAGTTGGAGGCCAGAGGAAGGCCAAAATCCTGCACTCTCTGGTGGCCTGCTGAACTCCAAGCCCCTACCCCAATGGAGGTCTGAACCCACCCTCGCCACTGTTCTTTTTCAAATCTCCCTTTACTGTTTCTTTGCCATGTCAGTGTACACTCTGTATACTCAGGGCAGGTTTTATCTGGAAGGCAAGCACAAGGCATATGTGCTGTCATGTCTGCATTTACATGAAACAAATATGACCATAACACTCTGTGCATGTCAACACACTGTGTTTTTCAATAGTATAATTGTTCTAACCTTTTTTTGCCAATGCCAGCGCAGTACTGCCTCGTGATATCTTATTCTGGTGAAGGCGACCTGCAGGATATTTAAAAAGAAGTCTGCAGTGTTTTTTAATAACTCAAGAGAGGTTCCAAATGAGGAAGCCCTTTAGTCCAGTTCTTACCATAGTATAGAGAGGTATAAATGTAGATGGCATAATAGCGTGGAGAAATTTCTCTATGATCCTTTGAAACAGGAACCACCGAGAGTTGACATGTGCTCGCATCTGTAATGAGAGTCTTGACTATACCTGGAAAGAAGCTCCTCTGTCCTTACAGCAAGTTGTTATTATGCTTTATTCACAGGTGTCACTCTGAGGGACGCCAACAAAGTAGTCAAATAAAATACCATTTCTTTAATTGCCATCCCCTAGCCCTCTGAGGAAATTTCAATAGTACGAGACACTGTCTTGAAAATCTAGCCAGGAAGTCTATTTTTTGTTCAGAAGACAATTTTAATATAAAAACTCTATTTCAGCCAAGGGTTCGTTCAACCAGATTTTGGGGTGACCTGTAAGCTCAAAGATTTAAGCAATTTCTTTTGCCTTCTGGTTATTTAGTAACATTGTTTATGGTAACAAGGTATTGCTTAAAGCCATGCTTGTCTTGATATATATTCATTAGAATAAATATTGTGTTGTAGCTGTCCTGTTTTATCTTTGTGTGTATTTGCATGTGTGTGTGCACATGTGGCTGCACACATACACACTCTTGTCTATACCTATTCTTATACAGCATGCATGAGATGGGGCTGGAACAAAGAAAAGGAAAACAATTACTAGTCTGCCAGACAGCCACCTCATGGGATGGAGGTAAACCTTACTCACCTCTATGTAGTTGTACATAGATAGGTCTGAAATTGCATGGTCATCTGGAATCCTAAATCTTGAGAATTCAGGAAGACACATATCTGGAAACCAAAATTAAATAATGCATGTGTCTAGGACAATCTACAACAATATTCTAGAGAGATGGCTCAGTGGTTAAGAGCACTGACTGCTCTTCTAGAAGACCCAAGTTTAGTTCCCAGCACCCACCTTTGGTTGGCTCACAACCACCTGTAACTACAGCTCCAGAGAATCCAATGCCCTCTTCTGGGCTCTGAGGGCACTGCACACACATGACATACATTCACACAGACAGATACACATTCACATAAGTAAAAATAAAGTAAATCTTAAAAACAGCAAACATTTAAAGATTGTTTAAAAATACGTTGGTTTCTGTCTAGGTCAAATTACATAGTATTCACTACCTACACTCTAATTTTTTAAAACTACTGATAGCTATTCTGTATGATCAACAATCTATGCTTACTGAACAATGTCCATATAGTATTCCTATTGTGATCAAATCAAGTTTACAATAAAATTAATAGTGGGCTTATTGGCTAGTAAAATCATCATTTCCCTTCTTCTACAAATGGAAAACAATTTTGTGATGATTAGTCTTCATTGTCAACTCGATTAGACTTAGAATCACCATGGAAACACATCTCTGGGTATGTCTATAGGGATGTTGTCAGGGAGGTTTAACTAAAGAAGGAAGACCACTCTTACTGTGGGCAGCACCATCCAATGAGGGAAGGTTCCAGACTGAATCAAAAGGAGAAAGTGGACTGAACATGAGCGTGCATCTCTGCTTCCTGACTGTGGACACATGTGACCACCCTCTGCACACTCCTGCCACCTTGTCACCCCAGCTGCAGTGAACCCTATCTGCTCCAGCTTTAAGCCAGAACAAACCTCTCCATCCTTAAGTGGCTTCTTTTGTCACAGCAATAAGAAATGTGACTAACACAGGTCTGTATAAACAACTTTAAACGTCCTTTAAGCTTTCTTAGCACTTTTGCTCTTGTGTCCTGTGCACACTTTTGTTTCGATGCACCTGGGAAACT